TTGAGATACAGGGCCGGACCAAAATGGCGCCAAATAGTGGTTTGGGTCGATTTCTCGCGAAATTTGGCGTCAAAATAAGTTGCCAAAACCGTTGTCAGCTTGGCGATATCTCGCCAAATGACCGAGATTTCCATTTACTCAATGTTAAACGGACTGTTTCCAGCATTCTTATTTTTCCGGCTTAGCTTCTCTCTGTAGATTGTTCGCGTTACATTACACACACACACACAAATAAATAAATAAATAAATAAATGTAAAATAAGTGGAATTATATGTGAAAAATACAATAATTTCACATATAATTCCACTACAATCATCCGTCTATATACAAAATTCGATACAATGTCAATTACACAACTTCTGCCAAAGTTTGTTTCATTCTTCACTGTTTCATTAATATTTTATTATTAAAATTTTATTATATTTATATTAACGTCTGTTTCATTAATAGTTTTCATCATTCATATTTATTTTATGTCGTTAATATTATGTATATTTTAATTGTGTTAGTTCTAAATAAGTTGTAACAGTGACAAATCTTCATATCAAATAAAAGCATATGATCGTTCTGCTAAGCAAAATGCAAGTACTTTTTTTCTTTTCTTTACGATATATATAAGAACTGTCCTTCCACATACGATTTGATAAGAATTCAACTATTTCAGTAAAGTTGTTATTAACAAAGATTTCTCAATTTTAAATAAATAACCAAGTTGTTAAAATGTTTCCATGCTTTTACAAGAGAAAACGTTCTTTTGTCTTAGGTGATCATTAAAATTTAGTGTTCAATTGATGCTTTCCTTCAACTACTTACAAAACTGTTCATATTTGGCATAGGTTTAAGTTTCATGTCCCCTATTCCCCTTATTATAAAATTAGCAGTTTATAATTACTATTAATTAATTCTATTCCAACCTGAATAGTTCATTCCATTCTAGGTGCTTCGAGTATGTGTGGGGTACCTTGCCATCCTTGATACTTCAAAAATATTCTTTGCTAGGTGGATTTAACATACATTTATTCGAGCTCTAAATTTTTGTACAGAAATAAGGTGTGAAATCTGTTTTCGAAAATATGCAGTTCCTAAATAATATATTAAGCAACATTATTGATTAGAAAATTATAATTTCCCCTTCTCTACTGATAAAAATTATTCCCTCCCCCCCCTCGAAACAAATTTAGAGGATTAAATAAACTGGAGGCTTACCACATCTGAAACATCTCGTACTATTAATTAATTGTTCAATTTGTTTTAGTTTCTGAGGCGTTATTCACATTAGTTTATGATGAAAATGAACATCATATAAAATTTGGAATTAAAATCACTAAAAATCTTCTAATTTTTGAGATAATAATTAATGTTATAATAATGGTCTTACGGGAAATACATTCATGGAGCTCATAAAATTGCTTAGAGACCATATACACCACTGACCTCTTATGGTGCTTAAGGTTCATGCCAACGCCAGACTCAGCTTTGCACTCCTTACCATGATAAAATTAGCCGACTTATTCTAATTAGATGAGGCAAGTGAGATTAGCCATAACACCAAAGATGAAATTCTGGTATTCCGCCTACATATAGCTGTATCTGTAGGTATTCATGAATTGCGATTATTTTGCGAATAATTTTCAATATTTATATTTTAACCTTACAGTTCCTTATATTCCTGAAACGCAGCATCCATGTGAATTACGATTTGAGACCTACTGCGGTCAGGCTCGTGTCTGTGTACATTGCGCACAAACACCCGACAGTTTGGGTACAGAATGTCACGCTAGACCATCATGGGCTAACTGTATTAGGTTAAACCATGTTCGAGGCACAAACTTTGGCACTGATCATGTGGCTAGTTCTAGATAATTTCCGGTTTATACTTCAGACCAACAATTTAAAATTACAAAATGTGTTCTCATTATTATTTATTATGAATTGTTTCAACTGTTATTATTAAGCTTAATAATGATTTTGCATTTTGCTTCCTTTTTGCATTAAAACAATCATTATGAATTATAATCTATATAATGTGATTTTACTAATATTATGGATACTTACCTATTGCCAAAAGGGGACCAGTTTTGTACTAGATTTTTTAAAGAATTTAATTATGAACTTAATATTTTGCATTTTGTATTATTTTGATTGATTTATTCATTATGTATTTATTATGGACTCATTCTGGAAGGGCTTTGTTTCTTAAATTAGTAGTACTGAAATTCAAGAATTCATAGCAATTCATGGACCCATTATGAATGCATTTTTGAACTATAAATATTGACTTACTGTTTCTAAATCCTATGAAATGTAATTGATACAATAGAAATATTAATGTATTACTAATATAAACATAATAGTAACATATGCTACACTTTGTATTTTACATTTCTAAGGAAATATTTCGTTGATTATTAAACTCAAAAGTTTCTGATTAAGACCTAATCCCTAAAGATAACGCAGCAATGAAGACATACTGCACAGTGTCGAATCATTAGGTTTTTTTTTAAAGCAGGCGACATGAAAAATGTGCACTGCCCTCTCCAGGACTCGAACGCTCTACCTTTCTAATATGTGTCGAGTTTGTTGCCAATTACACCACGAAGGCATGCCGGAAGGAGAGAGAGAATAATTTATTTATTTCCTCTTTTAAAGAGCGATTGGTGACGAGGGGGATTCAGTCGCCAAATCCTGGTGGTGACAAATTATCATGCGCCATCTTTTAGTTCGGTCACCACTTTTAGAGTCATTAGGCTATTTTGAAGGAGACGTGAAAAATGTGCAGTGCCCTTGCCGGGGCCTCTCGAATATTTGTCGAGTGTGCCTCCAATTACACCACAAAAGCATGTGGAAAGGAGGGGAGAAAATACCTTATAACTGCACTGTGCAATATTATGTACAATTGCAAGTGAGACAAAGCAATAAAATTAATTATCTCCCTCAAAACGTTATACAAGTAATAAAGCATGGATTTTACTGCGTATATATATATATATTTGTAGTCATATTTGAGAATGCTGTAAAAAGACAATAATAGTCGACTATAGCTTCTGTATGTAACCAAGTTACAGACCGTTTTCTCTTGGTTTAAGTTTTGCAACCTGTGAACAGTTTATTTCTTTAAATTTGTAAAACGATTGATAGATGCTGTGAATCACAAATAAAAGTAATCATAATAAATCAGGATCTTTAAGAATGATTATATTTAAAAAATGTAATAAATAATGTTATCACTAAAATATTTAATGCCAAATCTAAGTGAATTATGAAGAACATATACAAAATTCATTCATTACATTCCAAGGATCTGAAAAATTGCTCCCAAAATATCTTTCATTTAAAGACTGCATGACATAAAACAGCGGATAATAAAGTTTAAATCTCTATACTATAGCCTGTTACTTTAAAATATGCCTTCAAGGTCATACCGACCCTCCCTTCATTTCCGATCATAACGTGTGCCGTCATTAGTGGCACACTAATTTTAGCAAATTAGAGGAATCGACCTTCTTTCCACAGTAGTCGTTGCCAGGTTTATGAGACAAGGTTTGTGCAAAAGAAACGGTCTTTAACATACTATTTTAAAGTAACAGACTATATGGCTCTCTAGATAAGCCAGTATCTGTAGCTTAAAAAAACTATCAAATGTAATCAAGTATAAATGCCTGTAACTGAATCGGAATATTTTTTAAAATATGACAGCTTACTTGTTTTGTATTTTGCTTTGAATCCAGAGTGACTAACGAAAGAATCAGTATAGAACCTGATGAAAAGCACATTGCTATCCGTGAAGATGTCGTCAGGAATAGTTGAGCCACAAAGGCGATAAAGTAAGGGAGCTGCATCGTTAGATCCTGCGTAAATCTAAATGCAGATAAAATTTAATAACACCAGTATATATTAATTCCATTACTTAACAAAAAGTTGCATGAGAAATAAAGATTTTTAATTAATATCTTAATGATCAAGTTATAATGTATCATTAAATTTTTAGCCAGTTATTTTATGTTGTTATTCTTTCCTATAGTTCCCAAAGAATTTTAGATTGTAGGCCTTTGCTTAAGACAATGGCACACAGAATTTCTTTCCAATGGATTCCAGCCCACGATGGAATTATGGGAAATGAAAAAGCTGATATATTGGCTAAGAAAGGAGCTTTCATAATGCAAGGCAGAAATGGACCGCTTTCTTTTTATACGACTAAATTGTTTGTTAACCTGTCTGTTGTTCACTAAGAAAATTCTTCAGCAGGATATGATTCAACGTACTATGGATAAGATTTGGAGGATTCTGGTGGAAGAGACAACTTTCATTCCTATTTTCCCAAGAAAGACAGTGGCAGCTATATTTAGACATCTGACTGGACATCACTGTTTGCGAGATCACCTCTACAGAACTGGAGTGATAGATTCGCCAAACTGTATTTTGTGTGACTCCAATCAGTTTATGATTTTTAAACATTCAAATAATTGTATTGCACTTATTCGGTATGAGGACATTGTTAAAAGTACTGGACAACCTGTGAACTAATGGCTTAAGCGCTAATGTTTGGAATTTGTAAAATAAATAAATAGTCTTTCCTATCCATCTTATTTCCATTTTCCTGCCAGGATATAAATTTCTCGCTCGAGCGATACTCAAATGAGGTAGAAAGAATAGACTATTTAAAGAAACTTTTTAGAGGGTAAAACAAGAGCGTGCTCTGCCTGTTTAAAGACCACGTTGCTAAATTTGTTCTCTTGCGATTGGCATTCTGCAGCGTTGAGTTATGCTTGCTATTAGGCTTATTACGCCGACCTTAGCTCAAAGCCAGCTTGCGCCCTATTCATATTGTGAAGCCGTTCGGCTGATTTTCATAAGCTTTAGTGCAGGGGTCCGCAAACTTTTTGTCCCTAAGAGCACATTCTAGAATATCTCATGGACGCCGGGCACCATTTACGCTTTCAAGGGGAATTTATAGTTGGATAAAGTTAATAATACATGCATATAAGAAAAGAGATAGATCGCATTTCGCTTTGTGCCGGTATCTGTGTCGTGAGCAGTTTCTATTTCATTAAAAATGAGAAAATTTTCATATAGAACTTTAATGAAAGCTAAATCATTTTTATTGTGATCGAACTGCGGCGGGCACACGTTAAACGATAGTCGAGTGCCGTGGTGCCAGCGGGCGTAGGGTTGGGAACCCCTGCTTTAGTGAATCCACTATCTTTACTTTAAGCCATATAAGTTGCCTTCTGTAAGCACCAGTTGGTGCCAACTGTTACACCTTATTTGAGTTATTAAAAGGGCTCTTCACACCCTTTTCCTGTTTGTGGCACGTACAAGACACAGTGATAATCGCCACTACTATTTTAGAGTTTTGGTCCGGTATGTGCTGCCTAAGAAGACTAAATTTTATAAAGACTTTGCAAAATGGTATTTCTTGAAAACTCTACTTTACCTTCAACCAGAGTCTTCAGTGCACCGAATTGATATACTACACCAGAAAAGCACACGGGAGTAATGTTTTTATTATTTGCAAAGCTATTGAACTGATATTTAAATGACTGAGATTAGATTTAAAGAAATATTAATTTAATTTGCTGCTAATTTTGGAGAAGCTGTTATAAAATGTGGAATATTATCGAAGAAATCTTTATGACATTTTAAAAAATCTTAAATTCTGAAAAACAAAATTGTTTCTAAAGTTTTGGTTTTACAGAAGGGAAATTAAATTAAGATTACGCAGCGTTTAGTTCTTTGTATTTGCGAACACATTACCGAATTGCCAGTTACGAGCTTTTGGTTGCATATCTTCTTTTGAAGGATTTAAATTTTCATAATTTTGCAACTTAATATTTCTCAATTTATCGATAAAAATTTGAACTAAAATATAATTAGCGCTACAGCAAAGTCAACCTTAGTATTAGGTATTCAAAAGTAAAAAACGCTTTGATATGCTACTTTACTAGATTTATATGATTTTTTTTTAATTTTTCAAAATGTGCCTATTTGATACCTCGTCTAAAACGCTCAATGTCTTTAAAGTCTTTTCAGTAAATTTGAAGCAGCAAGATCTTACATCTGTATAAAAATTCTAAATAGTATTGTAAGGTTCCTCGCCCTTTGTCTAAGATGAACGTCGAGAAACATAATGAACTATGCAGCGACTTATCGTCGAGTTTAAACAACTTAGACGTAGACTTGAGAAGGGTTAAAATAGCCTTTTATTCACTCGAATAACAGTTGACTCCTTCTCGGACTTACAGGAAGCCTTTACTAGAGCTTTAACTCAGAATAAAAAATAAGAAACTAAACTGTAATAAACTAAACGAGTCTTAGCCGAAGTTAGACACAATTATCTTACGTAGCTGGCCTTAAATTAAACTACCCGGCGAATATCAATAGGTACGTATAATACGGCCCCGAGCGTAGCAGCTTTAAGAGTGACTTAGCCAGAAGGCAAACACGTGCCATTAAGGAATTCTAGCCCTCTTTAATGAAGTGAGCTGAACCTTCCTTAAATACGTCTTCTAACTCATTTGCATTCAGCGCTATTCTTAAAACTCATTTCTCGTATCATCCTTTAACATGTAACATATTTTGAACCTTATATTCTTAAGTATGTGTATGTCACCTTATGCATGTCCTTATATTTGTAACCTTACCTATCTACTGCACCTTATGTTCTACGTATCATGCATCCTGGCATCTGCCAATATTATTTGTATCTTCTGCATATTGTAACATATATCCCTCATAATCCTGTATCATGCATCTTATTTCTCACCTTCTACCATGTATCCTGGCACTTATATCACTCTGCACCTCGTATCATGTATCTTAGCATCTGCATATACACTCACTTCCAAAAGTTAAGCACGGAGAGGAAAATGCTAATTTCCGGAAGCCAATCAGAATTGAAGAGGATGCAATTCGCTGCAGAGGTAGATGGAAGTATGCAAATATGTTAGGTAACAGCCAATTGCGCTTTCATGTCAAGAAATATACAAAAAAGGAAGTCTTATAAGAAGCCAGCTTTATGGAGGGTTACAGAAGTTGATTGTAAGGGCTGATAGAAGGTGTTTAAAACTTCCGTACAATTTGTTTTCAAGACATACGTGTTTCTATGACTTCCAGAAGACGAATGGAAGATTCTGAGCGCTGGTATGCTGTGGGGTGCATTGAAGCAGGACAGTCGATCACAGTATTTGTTGATTTTTTTGCATTTTACATCTTCGTGCTTAACTTTTGGAAGTGAGTGCATCTGTATCCACAGCATCTTGTATAATATATCTCGCAACATCCTGTAACATGTAACTTATTCTGCACCTATATATCTTATATAAGTATATGTACGTCACCCAATGTGTGTCACCTTAGATATGTTCTTATGAATGTCCTCTTATACATCTCATGCACCCCATGTTCCTACGTAAGATGTATTTAGGCATCTGAATATATATGTAGCTTCTGCACAGTCTATCTGTAGCCACCGTATATTCTTAATAACCGTATTAGTAGAGGGTGGAGCCCACGTCCTCCGTCGCATGTCGCATGTCTTAAAACTCATTCTGGTAGGGAGTTGCAAATGGAAATAAGAATTGAAAGGGAAGGGTTTTAGAATTCAAATAACTATTATAAAATTAAAATATACCTTAGAATATAAATATGCTAAGTAGTTTTAAAGTTATAACGTAAAAAATACAAATCTTTAAAAAAACAAGCGAAGCATAGATATTTGTTTTTGAAACATTTGATTATTTTATCTCATTGGACAACTAACCAAAATTCTCCGTTCAAAGCATATAATTACATGCGATAGGAAGGTTAACTCACCTCTAGACGATCAAATCTGCAACTTGAATGTCTTTCCAAATTAAATTCCTGGAAAGTGAGCAGTATTCTGTTTTCTGGGCGAATTCTTATGAGCCATTCGCAATTGAGATTGTTTTCATATACATCCGGGAAGTTAGGTGAAGTGATAACACCTTGTGGGGCTGTCAGAGTTCCACCACAGCCTTGGATACCTTATTCCGAAAACAAAATGTACCTTAGATTATCATTCCGCAATTGTTGCTTATTGCAATTTATAAAAGACTATATCTAAAAAAATAATTACATTTATGCTGTTTATAGAGATGAAAATACAATGCCGATAAACCACATCGTTTTCGTTTTCCTCGTAAAGACTTTATTTAGAATATTTTATACTTTAAATCAGTGGTAACCAAACTTATGAAACTTCTAAGCTAGTATACCGTTTTTATAGCCTACTGTGACCTACCAACCAAAACAACTACCAATTTGTTTTTAAAAAATCTTAGATTTTTATTGACTACAAACTGACATTTCTAGTAAATGGTAAGACCTGTACTTAGCAGACTCGACTCTCGAGGTGTATCCCGAAATGCACTAAAATAGCTCTCGGAATCTCCAATCGACTAAATAACCTATAGCAAAGGCTATACATCCTGCTATAGCAAAGGGCAATAAAAAGAAAGGCCATAAAATTAGATGCATAATATGCATATTTATTTCAAGATACTGGTATACCAGCACACTAGATGTCTTTTTAAGTACTGTTTGAATGTCCAGGTTCAATGTAAATTCTGCACAACAGTAATTAATATTACCGCTAAAGTGCGGAAATCAGTTATTCTGAAGATTAACTAGGGTGATCCGATAAAGTGAGGAAAATTGTTTAATTTCTCAAATTACCTAGGTAATCTGCAAATTACTTATATAATCCACACATTACCCGCTAAGTATTCGAACCGTCTGAGCGGCCAGGGTTTTCGCTACGAAAGCATAAATTTCCCAAAACCACGATGAGAACAAATTATATTTTTGATTTTGATGTAAAACCTCTCCTGGTATTTCATACCTGGATTTGTTTTCTTTTGATATATTGCCTTAATTTCTTTGACATATTTTAATATGCACGTATATATACGTTCTTACAGATATCACAAAAAATATTCTATTTAAATAGATAGCCGTACATATACTGCCTTGCCGCTTAGATGGTTAAAGTGAAAATAAGATCTTTGCTGGAACAACAGCAACATCTCTGTACGCTTAAGACAGAGGCCACTTACACTTTTAAATTCTTGATCGGGCAGGGTTTCAGCAAATGTTACTGCAAAATCAAATATACCACAAATAGCTGTACTTATCGCAAAAACTAACTGCTATGTAAAATGTCACCAATATTTAAATTACACTAACAAGCGAGCATAATTTTATCATATGTTTTGGAAATTCATTTCCTTAATTGTAATATGTGATATTTTAAACTGTTTTATTCTTGGTATTATAGTTTTTTTAATTGATTGATGATTCTTTCAACGAATTTGTGGATTGTTTAATTGTATTAACTTGATATTTTAGATAGCTAAACATAAATAAATAACATTATGCTAATTTAAGTGCACAGAAACGTTGCTGGTGTTCCAAGAAATGTCTTATTTTCAGTTTGACGAGTGTCTGGTAAGCATGTCACGTTAGCGAGTGATTAGTAGGTAACGTGCAAAGCGGAAGGAGATGGAAAGGAAATAAAAAAATTTAAAAAAAAAAACTTTTGCTTTTAAACTACACGAAAGCCGTCAATGAGCACATTACATGGGTAAAATGCAGAAAATTCTTGATTCTGCACTTTACGGACAAATCAGTTTATCTGCAGATTAGCTATGTAATGGACACATTACATACCATTAGTATATGTACAACATATTTGTAAAGTACATTAGTATTGGAATACAATAGTCTATAATAATACAGTACAAAGTCTGTAATCCGGACGTCCATTATTCGGAATGATCTATAATCCGGACCTCACACTTTTTTGGTATGGTTAATGGGCGTTGGAGGATGTGTCTCCAGATGCGTTAAAAAATGCTTGGCATAATTTACGGCAAGCTACCATGTTTCATGGTGAGGACGATGAAGATGATAGCCGCGAATCTGAAGGTTTTCGGACATCGCCAACTAGATTTAAATTGATGATCTATAATCCGGAAAAACCCCTAATCCTGAATCGCCGAAGTCCTGACGAGTCCGGATTACGGACTTTGTACTGTATTGCACTAATATTATAATTGTATCATACCACTATATATATGTATTTGTACTGGTGCACCAGTATTTTGGTACTACACAATACTTTTAAGTGCTTATGTTATTAATTATATAATATTTGGGCAGTATTATTTTCTTTTTATGTGTGTAATAGGTTATTTTTATGCATCTATTCAAATGAGTACAAGAGTATGTTTGCAACAGTGTATTATTTCGAGAAACCACAAAAAGGCAGCTCTGTTTTTGAACCAAACCAAACGAACAGCACATGCACAGCCTCCTTCAGCTTGAGAATAGTACAACCAAACCAGACTACTTCACTCCTTACACTATACATTCTTTTCCCTTTGCTATGAAGACAGTTCCCTTCATGCCGACTAGCGAACAAAATTAGAATCATTGGCAGGGTTTAAATAGGCTGATAAGCATCATCTCCAAGTGGACCAACTGCTGGAGCAAAGAGTGGCAGGCTCAGGTTGGGCAGGAACCGTACTGGTACTCTCTTGCTTGCCCTTTCGTTGTGGGGGTGCTACATGGATAAATATCGAAGGTTGTCCTTAGGGGTTTGGCTTCCCTTGGTTAACACTGGGAGACAGTCCTTGAACTGACTTTGTTTTCTTTGTAGGTGACGAGCTAGACCCTAGTCGCCATTGACTTGTGTTCTTATAACTTTGTGAAATTTCGCGGCCTTGGGTTGACTGGTGGGGGCTTATGCCTTCTGGGATCGCCTCTGGAGGAAGAGACACAATAACCATGTTAAGGGCTTGGAAAAGGCCTAAGTCTGGGAGTCTTCCACTCTGGGAAATGTAATTTTGTATGAGTTTCTCAAAGACAAATACATTTTTATCGGTTGTGACAGTTGACTGTCTACCAGACCGCGTCTGGTCAAGGATGTTGCAATCACAGTGCCAAAACCTCTGAAACAATTGGCACATATTTCTTCAATTCATTCTGCTGCCCTCATAGACTAGTTGTTGCAACTTATGATCTTTTTTTCCTTATTCTTATTATTTACATTTAATAACATCAATAAGTGAAAGTTTGCTTACCTTTCTTAATAAATATCCACAGGAACGCTTGGAATTCCTTTTCATTTTTATCACACAGAAGTTTTATTTACAGCTATGTACAAGAATTGTATGCTTACATTAGAACATTCATCATGTTTTTTTTGGTTGCCACTATATCTATCTCAAAAATCCGCAATGCGGTAAGAAAAATATAACAAGCTAAAAGTAAAAAACGCTGCGCCCTCTCGTGGCCAGCTACATAAAACTGTAACATCCTCCCCCTCGATGAACTCTTGGTTCATCAAAGGATTGGATCTGAAGTTATCTTAAAACACTAAATGTTTTTAATGTTCTACAAGTTTAAATGTTCATAGATGCAGTGTTCGCAATTTAAGTTCACTTGTATTCAGTTCAAAGAGTTCAAGTCATTTCTAATGGGTACAGTAACTGCACAGGACGACGAAGATGAGTTCCATTAGGCTAAACGGACAGTGCAAGCCCTTATTTTCCCATCTCGTCCCTGGATGACACTCCTGTACAGCTCCCATCTTCCGCAATAATCTTGGTAATTTTTTTTCATGTACTAGAACTACAGAGCCTTTCAAAAGATCTGTTACGGCATTACCTCTCTGAATTTGTTTCACGTTTCTAATTTCAAGTAAGTATTCTCTTTTCCATCTTTTCCAAAACTCTTCTAATAACCTTAGCTGGTATTTATATCGCCTTGTTAAATTTTCTTTAGTTGAATCAGGTTCAAGAATTTTGCCAGATGGTAAGGATGTCAGTTTTCGTCCAACTAGAAAATGAGCTGGCCTCAGCGGTTCTGGTTCTCCAACTTCACTATAAACATACGTCAGTGGATGCGAATTCAATATCGCCTCAATTTCAATTAAAACTGTTTCCAGCTCTTCAAATTTAAGTGAAGCCTTCATGAGTATTTTCTTCAAACATGACTTGATAGATCTAATAAGCCTTTCCCAGAAACCGCCCCACCAAGCCGCACCTTCTCCACATTGAATTTCCACTCAATACCTTTATTACCAAAATAATTTTGAACCTTCTGTGTCCTTTATGGTATTCCATAGTTTTTGTAAATCCTTGTCTGCTCCTTTGAAGGTTTTTGCACATTGTCTGAATATATTATTCGACATACTCCTCTTCCTTGGAAATAAATCTTCTAAAGGACAGAAAGAAAATTGTTTGCTGTTTGGCTAGACACAAGTTACAGATGCACTGCTCTGGTTACAGCGCATGTGTATACAGAGCAATATAAGCTTTCCCAGTTTCATCGTTTGTACTCATAGGACCAGCAAAATCAAGTCCTACAACTTCGAAGGGATTTGCCTCTGTTATTCTTTCGATTGGTAAAGGAGCGATATCCTGACTTAGTGGCTTAGCTTTAAATCTGTAGCAAATCACACACTGTTAATATTACTCTGTACACGCTGTCGACCCTTAAGTATCCAAAATTTTCCCTAATTTGAGTTAAAGTTTCAGCTACACCAGCGTGTGCTTGCATTTCGTGACAATCTTTAATGATATGATCTGTGAAATGAGACTTCTCAGGTAGTATTGCTGGGTATGTTTGATTATAGCTTAACCCAGCATTTGAAGCCTTCCTCCTACTCTGAGTATTCCATTTGAGTCTACAAATGGATTTAATGTAAATATTTTCGAACTATGTATGCTTTGTTTCATCTTTAATTTCCTTATTTTTCTTCTCTAAAATTTTCTTTCCTGAGTTTTCTTGATCCAGAAATTCTCTGCTTCATTCATCTCTTCAGCCTTAAACAGGTCCAATTCTTCTTAGTTTTGGGTTTTTAAATTATTGATAAATCTGAAAACATAAGATGTTATTCTATATATAATTTTTTTATGTCACTAAAGTTCTCGATAGGAATGAAATTTTCAACAATACAGTTTGCTGTTAAAATTTCTTG